TCTCTCTCTCTCTCTCTCTCTCTCTCTCTCTCTCTCTCTCTCTCTCTGGACTTTCTGAGTAAATACAAAAAGAAAGGATGTCTCCAAGGCAGGCTTCCCTGTCTTTCTCCAGCTGAAATCTCCCTCCCAGTCTACAAGCCACAGGAACTTTCTTAGGTCCACCTCTCTGTCCCATGCAATCCTTGAAGGTTGAGGCTGTGGGAAATTCAGTCTTGGTTTTCTGAGATGTGGTTATGTCCAAGGGTTATTTGCTGACTCTAATCCTGCAAGCTGAGCCTCATAATTCCTGCCTGCCTAAGATTGATGTTGCTGAGTTAAACCAAATCTTCATTAGGAATAGGGTCACATGTGTTAGAAGGACCCCACTTTTCCTCAGACATCGCAAAAGGAGCCAGTGTTTCATTGGCTCAGAGGTACAGGATCTCCCAGGAGCCAATATGGGATGTCAAGAACACATCTCTCCTCTCTCATTCGTACAGGATATTGTTCTGACTCATTGTGCTTTTAGCCCGTTGCTTTTCACAAGAAATCTACGGATTGTTACTGCAGCCGCCCAAGGCAGGGGGTGGGGTGGGGGTATAGTTATTTTACTGCCATATCTGACCTTCCCTTTCACAGATTGTGATCGTCACAAATTTTACTTATGTGACTATATTGTACAATGTAAATGGCGCCCTCAGAACACAGGCACTTCCTTTAGAATCTTGCCTAACACAGGGCAGATCCTTGACAAACACCAACTCGATGACGGCTCCAGTGTGCTTGGGAGCTTAGAAAGATTTTATAAGCTTCCTCTTAAACATCTGGAAAGACTCAGCAGACAGCCTAAAGCAGTGGTTCTCAACCTTTCTGTTGCTGGGACCCTTTAATACGGTTCCTCATGGTGTGGTGACCCCCACCCCCAACCATAAAATTGTGTAGGACCATGAAAGGCAGCCTGGTTTCTGGTTGAGCACCAGCTAGAAACCACTGAAGACCCCACAGGGTCCCCTGCAAGGGACGGCATGTGTTTCGCCATGCTCCCAGACTCCAGGCTCCTGACACGAGGCCGCAGTCCCCATAGATTTGGGTCCTTCAGTCGTGTAGGGCAACGCCCCCTAGACCTTCCACAGGTAGAGGGTGTTACTACAGGCCACAGAGCCTCAAGACAGATCTCCATATTAATGAGAAACCTTAAGGCCAGAGGGGCGTAGCCAATTAAACATTCCATCCCAGACTCTCCTCCCTGCAAACAGTATTTAACCTCAGGCCTGCCCTGAGGAAACTGAGGTACAGTTTTCATCTACTTTCTGCCATGACAATTAACAGCTTAAGACCATGGACTGTTTCTCTTCTTCAGCATCCACCGTGGGGAACAGTGGAGCAGGCCTTCATCCACAGAGCCACCACCTAATCTCCCTCAGAAGAACTCTCTGTGTTCCCAGTCATGGAGACCACCAACCCAAGCAAGCAAGCTGAGCCAACCATGACCAAGCCAAGCGAGCCTCTGGGACCAAGAACTCTTATCCCCACAGGACACAGCCGGAGCTTCTCTCTCCCTCTCCCCTTCAGCTGAAGGCCAATCCAGCCTGTATGCCCCCACTTCATTCTCCACTCTTCTGTGGCTTCTAGCAGCACCTAGAGGCCCAAGAGCCTGAGAACCAGCCAGTTTCTGGCTACCTTTAGGCCCAGGGAACCCCCAGCCAACTCTGGCAGTCATTGGAGACCTCAGACTGCACTCCCTCACCCAGGAGCGGGTTCCGTGGCTTCACATAACCCAATGCCTGCCTGGTGCAGGGGAGAGCACAGTCAAACTTCCTGCACCTCTGTCTCCAGGAGTGGCCCTAGCCCCATGCCGAGACAGACTCAGGACCCACACACCATTAACCCAACAAAACTGTTTTTGTTGCTACTTCATAATGTAATTTTGCTATTATTATGAATTGTAATGTAAATATCTGATATACAGGATATTTGATATTCAACTGCTGTGGAAGAGTCATTTGACAACACCCCACCCCCCACAAAGGGGTCGCAACCCGTAGATTGATGTAGAGTCTTGGAGATCAATCACACTTACCCTTGACCCTGTACTCTCTCAACATAGGGCTTTGTTTTAGAAGACATACATTCCAGATAGAAAGGAACCCTAGGAGTGGAGTACACTTGAATTCAGATCTAGTATAATCAGATGCCTCTGTTAGATGCTGAAATAGACACTCGGAATAGTATCTAACGGCCTAGGACCTCTGCTGAAAGAGGAGCTGCACTCTCATACAGTAATTGCCCTTCAGCAAACACAAAGCAATTCATGCTTCCTTTGAACTATTAAAAGCTTAAAGGGGAAAGATTTTATGGCTGATTCCATGCTGAGGAGACCAAGGTTCTGGACAGGTGTTGGTACTAATACCCTGCCACAAAAGCTGTTGGCTCATCATTGGCCCAACCAAAACTCAAATGCACCTCTGCTATAGGCAAGGCTGAGGAGTGAGCCATGAGAGACAGAAAGTCACTGGGTCTATTGCCCCTCTCCACCTCGCCTGGTCTCTGCACCACAGCCTGCCTTTGCCTTGCGCTAGGGATGCTGAAGGATGGAGTGGCTGTCCGGCCTTTTAATTTATAATTAACACAAAGAGATCAAAAGCCTCAGCCATTAGATGAGATCGAAACACAACTCGTTACCATAATGATGTAAAGACCGATCCACAGCTAGTTCTATACTCGGTGGCCAGTATCTTAGACACCATCACTCAGAGAACCTAGGACCCACATCAAGCTGCCCATCCTCTGATGCTCTACAGCCAGCCCTGGGATCCAGGGGCTCGGTGCACAAACATAGAAGAAAGGAGCAGGACTCTGGCTGTCCTGTCATTCTCTAGGCCCTACAGGGAGCTGTTGGATGTGGCAACCATGTGCACACGCTTGTTTCTACTTCTGCTGATCTCCCCATGGATTCACGTATTTGCCCATGAGGCCACCGTCTCCATCCTCAGACTTTTCATTATTTTTACATCTCATTCACTTTGCTTTTACTATCTTTTCAGGACTCTGCCCCTGGTGTGACTATTTTTTTTCTTTCTTGGGGTTCCCAGAACTACCAGTCATTTTCTAGGGTCCAGCCTTCAATGTGCTCTTTAGTGTGGGGTAGGGATTGCACACTCTAACCCAAACTGTAAGCATTCCTGACTTCAGATTTTTTTTTTTTATCAGATCTTTGGGAATTTACCCAGACATGAAATCTAGAGGATGGGACCCAAGTCTAACCAGAAAATCAATTTATACTTCATCTGTACCTTCTGCACATAACCTGAGCATAATTTCACAGGGTAGTTTCAATAATTTTATGCATAAAACAAACTTTGTATGTTTTGAGACAGGGTCCTATGATATATCCATGGCTGAACTGGAACTTGCTATGTAGACCATGCTGCCTTCAACCTTGTAGAATACTGGGATTTAGGACATGTATACCATATCCAGCCCAGACAAAGCTTCTAGGTGTAAGCTCTTCCACCCATGCCATCATGTTGGTACTCTACCTTTCAGATCTAGAAGACCTTTGTGTTGGGGATGCTCAATAGAAGACAGGATCCAGCTGAAGCCCAGGCATCCTAATGTCTATCTTGGCTTGTCAAATCTCAGCTTTTAATTCTGGCTTTACACATACTTGTCCATGGGATTAGTCACCTCAGGAGTGACACATGTGTACCCTATGTGCATACTGGGACATATACATAATGAAATGTGTGCAAAATGAGGCAGCACTTTGAAAAGGTTCTAGACTTTTCTAAAGGGCAAATCTGACCTGTGAATGGAGGAAGCATGTGGGCTTTGGGTCCAGGCAAAAGCTGAAATCTTGGCTTTGTATGTTTTTGGCTATATGATCTTGAACAGGTGGGTTTTCCTTTTTTTTTTTTTTGGCATCTCAAAGCCTTTTGTTTCTCATTTATAAGAGGAAAATAGAGGGGCTAAGTGGGATAATTCACATAGGCAGTTGGCATTCTGCAGAAATATAATGGCCATTAATGAGGGTTAAACATACTGATGCCGAACAAAACATATGCGGGGTGTGATGTCAACTCTTATTACAAGAGGAAATACTATACCAGGCAATAGTCAGGACATATTTATACTTAAAGACATCATCACTGTTTATCTGAAATTCAAATTTAACTAGGAATCCTTTTTTTTTTTTGTTTGCTAAACTTGCAAACCCTCTATCAATATTATTATTACTTAGCCAAAAGGTCATAAAAAACATCATGCTAAAGTTATTGAAAATATACACGCCCACACACTCTGCAGTTCAGAGAAAACCACCTGGTGACAGAATAGGATGAAGCAATCTTTTTTTTTTCTAACTCTAGAAATTAACACATATGGCTACCTGTCTCTTGATTATGGGCTCTCCTAGACTGAAGCCATTTCCATACTCCCAATTGACTAAAGGGATACCCTTCCCCACACTACGAATATTCTGCCTGAAGACTCTGACAACTCTCCATTCCTGAAATTCTTAACAACTTGTTATTTTCTTCTTGTGGGGATTTCCCAAATAGAGACAGACTTGTTTATACATCTTGTGGCCCTCAGAGGTTGGGAACGAATTGCCAGGGATGACTAGAGGGGTCAGAGCTATACCTGAGAAGCACTGGGTCCCTGCCAGAGACAAGAGAGAAGCCAGAAGACAGAGAAGCAGAGACCTAGGGGTGAGGGATCCTGGTAGGAGTCTGCAAACAGACATGATATGGAACACTGGCCGAGAGGGAGAGGACGGTGAGGACCGGGCCAGGCACTGGAGGGGTGGGAGTGGGGCAGAGATTACAAACAGGAAAACCCAGAAACTGAAGTTGTTAGTGCAATGTACACAGAGAAAGGGAGAGCGGGCAGCTGTCGGAGGATCCGGGATCTGAGGCAGCGATCATCTGAGCAGACATTTGTCTACTTGGTACTTCCTGAGCACCGAGAGGCGAGGCAGGATAGCTCACTCACAGCTTGAAGGGCCAAGCGTAAAATAAAAATGCTTCTTCTCCAGGCAAACACAGCAAAGTGTGTGTGTGTGTGTGTGTGTGTGTGTGTGTGTGAAGGCCAAAGGTCAACTTCAAGTGTCATCCCTCAAGTGCCAACCACCTTGATTTTTTTTTTAAGACATGGATTTTTATAGCCTGGCTTGCCAATGAGATCCAGAACCCTCCTGTCTCTGCCTCCCTAGTGCTGAAATGACAAGCACACACCACCAAGTTTGCACAGCCAACCCCGAGAGAACTTTAAGACGGCAATAGAACATTAATTAAATCAGCCAAGGCCATTCTGAGAATGAGAACTTTGGTGCTGGCATCAGGCACCCTACCTACTGGTGATCTTGGATGCAGTACTTGCACTGGGTGATGGAAGGAGCTAGATGAGGTACTTGGGCTGGGTGATGGGAGTTGGATGCAGTACTTGTGCTGGGTGATGAGAGTTGGATGCAGTACTTGGACTAAGTGATGGGAGGAGCTGGATGAGGTACTTGGGCTGGGTGATGGGAGTTGGATGCAGTACTTGGACTGAGTGATGGGAAGAGCTGGATGAGGTACTCGGGCTAGGTGATGGGAGGAGCTGGATAAGGTATTTGGACTGGGTGATGGGAGGAGCTGGATGCAGTACTTGTGCTGGGTGATGGGAGTTGGATGCAGTACTTGTGCTGGGTGATGAGAGTTGGATGCAGTACTTGGACTAAGTGATGGGAGGAGCTGGATGAGGTACTTGGGCTAGGTGACCTAAGTTCTGTATTACAACCCTAGCCTTGGACAAAGAGCTAGATTTCTCTGTTTTTGGTTTTGTCATATGAGAAATAAAACTGATATTATGTCAAGACCTCAATAAAGCCTCTTTTAAAACCCACATGCTGGGCATCGGAGCCCACCAGGCAGGACTTGGAGGGGGTCTGGTGGTTCCCATCCCAAATTCACTATGTCCAAGCCGTGTGTCTTTACGTGAGTTTTCCCTCCCTGTGACCAGCTTCAGCCACTCACAGGGATGGCCTCATCGTTCTGTGCCTCCTTCAGTGCAAGTGAGTCTCTGAGCCAGGGCTAGGTGAGGAACACTCTCTCTCCCCACGCATGGCACTGGAGACACCAGTGCACATTATGGTCACACTGTCCTTAGCTAGCTACCATCACACCCAGAGCCACGGGAAGAAAGCAGTCTCTGTCGGAAGGAACACAAGGGTGAAGACTCTGGGCTGAGTGTCTAGCAACCCACGGCATCTAATACCCGAGAGCCACATTTCTGCCTTATTCTCAAAGACTAGCATGCACACCCATGTGACCTATGCTGCTCCCACGACAGATTATTCAACTAGAAGCAGAGAGGATGGGACGGTGTGACTTTCCCCTTGTACCTCCCCCACCCCCTCTCAGGGTAGAAGCATGAGAAGGTATAAGGACAGAGTGGCCTAAATCCATCCCCAAAATAGGGGCAGAGGTCTGTAAGGATGCGAAAGCACAGAGGGGCACCGTTTGGTAGAGGAAGGGGACCAGTAAGAAATGGGCAAAGGAGATCGAAGGGTAGGAGAGGTGATGTATAAGAACATAGTATAAGGATATATATATATATATATACATATATATATATATATAACATATATATATATTCCACATACATATATCCCATATATAATGTATATATGGAAATGTCATAATAAAACCCATCGCTCTGTACGATAACTTTAAAACTTAATCAAAACTAAAATGAATAATAAAGACCTAAGTAAAAGGCGAGACCCCATAACCCATCTCTTCATAATATAATGAGATGTTCTAATGATAACAGTAACAACTACCCTTACAGAGAGCGTCTCACAGGTTGTATATCGCCCTGGACATTTCTACAAATGGTCTTAATTAATCCCCTAAGGAACCAACGTTAGGTGTAGCAACTGAAACTCAAGATGTAGGAAATAAAAAGAAATACATTAGGACACTCGAGTTCTGAAAGGCTTGGGAGCCTGGCCAAAAGTAGTAGAGTTAGGTTCTGTCCTCGGGCCTACCTCTCTCTGTTCAGCATTAAGTGTTGCCCCTCCTCATTGGGTAACAGTGTGACCCAACCATGAGTACCACTAGATGGCAGTGTAACCTGTCCTGGCCTGGAGGAAACTATGCTCAGTCCAGAATGAGACAGGGCTTACCAGTGCCCAGCCTATTCAGGGCTTTCCTTGTAAGGCCAAATATTCTTTGGAATGAAACAGGGTAGTTGGGAGACATACATACTTGACCTTTTGTATGCCCTCAAGGTATAAGAACTGAAAAGAAAAAATATATACTAAAGCTAGCTCCTAGGTGAGACTAGATCCTCCCAGGGCTGGTAGCCTTACCAACCAGTAGCCATTGTCTGGTGAAGCCTGAGGCCCTGGACACCTGCTGGCCTCACAGCTTCCATTTTCATGCTCAATGGGCTTTTGCCTCTGTTTAGGGACAACAGAGGTTAAGAATTTCCTTCTTCTCAATAATGACCTTGTTCTCTACACTGTGTGTTATCTGAACCGTTGCCTTCCTAAGGCCTCATGAAAGATGCTCCAAGCTCTCTGTGACCCTCTCCTCTCAGGGCAAGAAGAGTAAGAAATAGGATAGCCTGGATGTGAGAAACGCTGCCATGACACCCAGCCCCAGCCCCAGCCCCAGCCCCCAGCCCCCAGCCCCCAGCCCCCAGCCCCCAGCCCCCAGGCCCCAGCCCCAGCCCCAGCCCCAGCCCGCAGCCCGCAGCCCCAGCCGCAGCCCCTTCCTGCACAGGGGATGTGGTGGGCACTGTGCAGCTGGAGAGGGGAGGGCAGCTTGCGTGCTATTTCTTCTTACTGCTCCACAATGGCCAGTGTGCGCACACAGAAGAGAAAGAGAGCTGGTGAAAGAAAAGGAGAGAGAGAGAGAGAGAGAGAGAGAGAGAGAGAGAGAGAGAGAGAGAGAGAGAGAGAGAGAGAGAGAGAGGTGTGAGTGTACAGCAATGACGACCCACAGCCCACGCAGAACCCACCACTGCGTGTCTGCGCTCTGCCTCCCACCCAGTCTATCCTCTACTTCCCTGCTCAGAGCATTGCCAGCAGCTGGCACACCCAGGTTTTTGAAGGCTAGACGGCAAAGCTGCCTCCTTCCGGTGGCATGAAGATGCTTCCTTGGTGAGAAGGACTATTGGCCGCACTCCTCGGGAGTCATCCATCCACAGCATGGACGGAACAGCACAGTTCTATGTCCACTCTCCCAAACTGACTCAGTAAAGGTCGTGTTCTAACCTCCACACGCTCCGTGTACCCCTAGCTGAGCCTCAGTCAGCCCCCACACCCCGCCCACAGCAGAGCCGGTGATGAGCCCCGCCCACCTCAGAGCCAGTGAGGAGCGTGCTGCCTCCACTTCCCCCTCCTCCCACAGGAGAGAGGTTTCCACAGCAGTACATTATCCATTAAAAAATAAAAAAATAAAATAAAAAACCTCTCCCACCCGGGTTCTGAGTTTTACTCGATGATTCCGTCTCCATAGCAACTGAGCCTACAAGACCTTGGCACTGATCTGCTATCTGACAAGAAAGCGTGGAAGAGGCTGCTGGGAGAACAGTGAGCTGAAAGCTGGCTGTCGTGCCCTAAGTGTATCAAAAGACGGGTCTTAATGACACCCCTAATGATGCTCTCTGGAGATGCTAAGTCTCTGTACACCACAGTGCTACCTTACGAGCTCCATCCTGTTCCTTTCCCTCCTCCTTGGCAGTTCCATCTTCCTCCCACCTAGACATGCCCTTCCAGGTCCCCACTCATGCCTCGAGGCCAAGCCACAACAATGACACACTGGGTAGAGAAATCTCACCAGGTTTTCAAAGTGTGAAATGACTCAGACATCACATGGCCTGTGCTACACTCGTCATTCACTCACCAGGACCACTCTAGACCAAAGGCCCTTGCCGTGGCCTCCTCTTCTCCAAACTCTGATACCACAGAGCTATGTTTCAGACCCTGGTATCAACAGCAGTCTCCAAGGAGAGATAACATTCCCTCACATACGCAGCTAGACGTGTGGACACCTTCCCAACCTCAGAATGCAGCCAACGTACCTGGTTTACCTTAACTTCGTTTGGATTGGTCACGCGGTCCAGGCCGTAGTCTAACACGTTGTTCATTCCAGGCTGAATGGAAGAATAAGATAAGGGTCATCACAGGAAGTCTCTAGCTTCTTATCAGTCTCAGACCTGCCCAAGCTGCCAACTGAGAGATCAAGCTGAGAAGGGCTTGTGGTCTAGCCCACAAAGAAAGGTGACGTAACCCCCAGATGAGCTGGAGAGCTCTCCGGCTGCTATTTGGTCTATTACCACAGCACTCGACATAGTGGGAAGAAGAGAGAGAGGGAGGGACAGAGGAAGGAAGGGACAGATGAATACCTCTATTTCGCCATAAGCGAATGGAGGGGGGATGGAAGACAGATGGGATGCAATGTGGACAGATGGATGGACAGATAGATGACTGATGTGATAGATTGCATGGATAAATGTAGCTGAATCTCAATAAGACTTCACTGCAGTTGATACACGGGACTCCTGATTCCTCCCACAGGTCTCCTTTACCACACGCTTCGGTTGCTGCCTGGGCTGAGTTAGAAGAAGGAAGCCAGCTGTGCTTCAAGCATGCACTAGCCCATACCTACCCTGATTTTGACGTTTCCCAGATGTGCCAGACATCCTAGGAGAAACTTCTCGGTCTTCACTGGCCCAGCCACCTGAGAAGCAGAGCTAATGCCTCCTACCTGTCAGGCACTTCTAGGATTTCGCAAGACGAAGTACGACACCGTCAGGAGAGCATAACTATCACTGAATAAAGGCCTAGACTTGTTTACGGTCGTGCATGTGTAGGTGTAACCAAACCTGTGTGCATACGACAGTGCAACCAAACCTACGTCAACTGTCTTTGTTAGTTCCCATTTCTGCCAGTTAACCCCACCTGCACCCCATCCCAATTGGCCTCTCTCACCTACTCAAGGCCAGCAATTGAGGTTTTTCACTTCCTGTGGACAGGCAAGTGTCGGCACGTACTATTAATAAGGCTGACCTCACAACAACGGAGAAGAGCAACTCTCTCCCCATCAGATCCAGCCCCATCAGCAGCCCTGAAAGCATTTTCAGTTTAGAGGAAGGGTTGCTAGATTGAAATCTAGGACATCTGGTTAACTTCAGATAAATACAAATAATTCATGTCCCATACAGTTTTGGAGAAGTTAGGATATAAATTGCTTCGTTGGTGGGTTTTTGTTTGTTTGCTTGCTTGCTTTGTTTTGCTGTTGTTTTGTTTTGTTTTGTTTTGTTTTGTTTTGTTTTGTTTTCCTTGTGGGTAGGGAACAGAGTCTTTATGTACAAAGCTTGCCTGGAATTCACAATGTAGCCCAAATAGGTCTAGAACTCACAATCCTCCTGCCTCAGCCTGAAGTTATAGGCTCATGTCACCATGCCCAGCTCCAATAGCTTAGCACCTATTATATACTTATACTAAAAACATAAAATAAATTTTGATAGCAAATAAATTCTGATATAAACTATTTGTTTTTTCAAAATAATTATTGCTGAGGCCAGGGCAGTGGCTGAGTGAGTGAAAATATTTTTCACACAAGCCTGACAGACTGAGTTCAATCCCCAGCACACATGTGAAAAGCCAGACGGTGTGGTGCACATCTGTAATCACAGCCTGGTACACATCTGTAATCACAGCTGTCCTCCAGAGAGATGGTTGGCAGAGACAGGAGAATCAGCCAGAAGCTCACAGGCCAGCAAGCCTAGAGTACTCAACACGGGTGCATCAATGAGAGACACTGCCTTAAAAACAAGTAGGGGGAACCCAGCTCCAAATGCTGTCCTCTAACCTCTATGCCCCTGATGTGGCAAGCATGTGTGTGTTTGTGTGTGTATGCATTGACACACATGAAGTTAATTAATAATTAATTAATTAAAAACCAGGTGCCCTGTATCCAGCTTGCTAAATATGACATCCTAGCTCAACAGGCTACCATAGCCACAAAAGGAAGAGTTGAAAGGCAAACCAAGAATGCATGAGAGGAAGATGGGGAGAAGGAGCTCTCACTCTCACCCTAACTGTTCCCTGTGGACCTCGATCAACACTACACATAAGCCAGACCCTGTGCTAAGCCTTGAGAGACTAGTTAAATACGGTGTGAGACTCCTGCTTTGGGGGTGGGGGCACACCCAGAAGACATAAGGAGTCATTTCCAGTCTTGAGGAGGGGGGGGAGTCCCTTAGTAGTCACAAGATAAGTGTCATGATGAATGCCATGAAGTGCAGAAGTCCCAGACAGCCCTCAAGACAACCTAACCTCATATGAAAGAGAAGAGAAGGGTGTGGCCACCAGACTAATGCTTTCACCTAGATGGGTTCCAGGCACTTCTCTTGACATCAGCTACAGAGTTAGCCCCGCCAGCACAGCGGAAGATGAGTTTCACATACACGCAGACGTTCACGTTGTGTTGTCTAACACACCTACACACCTCTCAACTTATGCATGATTACCCATATACACACACACACTCCTGCGCTCCCACGCATTTACACGTACTCATCCATGCTCACCGCACACTCAGACGCCACCCCACTCCCAGTTTCCTACAGCCGCTGTCCAGCTCCTTTCATGGGCACTAGCTGCCTGAACAACTCCGTGGGGTCACCTGCACCAGGCTTGAGTTGGCTGTTCAGCTGTTCCTTAGACCTGGCCCCGTAAAGAAATTTGGTGACCTGGGGCTCAATCATTTGAAACCAGTTCCAAGGCCACCTCTGCTGCCCAGACTCACAGTCACCTCTGAGCATTACAGTTCTACTGTCCTCTCCAGTTCTAGCTCGCTGCCACCACCCCACCCCTGAGGATTTCCTTGACAGCTCTAGGGGACAGCCAGCCCTACACCCTCCTCTGCCTGTGCCTTCATCTTGGCCTCTCTGTGGGTAACAACTCTTTAAGTCCCAGTTGAAGAAGCTGCAATCTCAACCACTGTCCTGTCCAAAGTCCCCCAGACGGTTACAAGTACAAGAAACTCCCCGGTTCGTTCATTCATTCATTCATTCATTCATTCATTCATTTGTTCATTCGTCTATCAGGCAGTTAGTATAATCTTTATCCTACTGTAATAACCACCGGAGCTACTGACCCACAAGTGAGTACTTAACTGAAGGTTGCCCAGAGCCGATCGTCAGTGCACAATAAATAAAGGTAACCAGTTGAGGTGCTACCAGCCGATGCCTTCTACCCTGTGTCTCCACCCCGAAAGCCCCTCAGAGATGTACAAGCTATGAGCTTCCCTCCGTCAGCTGGAGGAACTGTGAGCACCAGGGTATGACATCTCTATCACATCCCTTGGGCAATAAACAAAAGAGGCAATTTGCTAAATGCTTGGTGATCTGATAGTGAACCAACACACGAGGGTGGCACCAGCCTTCTACTAGTCACAGGGTTGACTCTCTAATTCCCTTCCTGGTCACCACCCTGTTCCCTAAAGCATCAGACCCTTTCACCCATGGGTCAGAGAGGATAAACAAAATGCTACATTGTTTTACAAACATAATACAATGAGGAAAGGGGAGAGGGGAAAATGAGGCTGAAACAAGGAGAGAATTTTAGGCTGAAGAGTTAGTCTGTTCCAAGCACAGCTCCATGTGAGTGTCAGCTCTGAGGAGGTGTCTCCTGGCACCCAGTCTGATGCAAAATGTCTTTCTTCTACAAGACTGTGTGGCATTCTGTATGTCATTCACTCATTTGCATGATAATTTAGTCCTAGCTTCCTCCGCTGTCCTATAGTAAATTCCCTGAGATCGTGAACCATGTCTGTCCTGGCTCATAAAGCCAAATATCCCCATTGCTCCAAGATCATCTACCATAAAATAAACATCCAAAAGTTATGTTGATTCTGTTTAATTACCACCAGCATCTGTCAAGGGTCTCATACTGTTTTGCGGTTCGACACTACATTTCAGACTATTTTCTAAGTTAATGGATGGTCTTTATCCATATCATTTTAATAGCTTCACAATGGCCTATCACATCTGATGATATAAGTTATCTTGCTATTCTCCATTGCAGGGCATTTAACACAACCTCAGCAGGAAGTGGAGAGCAGATACCTTCTTTGTTGATGTCTCTGTATGTGGCTATAATGAAGACCACTTAGTGTTCATTCATGTGACCTAAGGATACAGGCCAGAAAATTCCTTCTCCCCAGAAAGCCAGGCCTGGGTGATGGACTGTACCCTCAGAAGATGCTAAGTCACTGGTGGTACCCAGGTTATGGGAAACACCAAAATGTTTTGTTCCAGGAATCATGTCTCACTGTGGTATATATAGCTCAGTTCATAGAGTATTTTCCTGGCATACATGAAGAACTGGGTTTCAGCCCCAGCACCACGTAAATTGGGTATAGAAATAAACACAGGAGGATTGGGAGTTCAAGGTCATCCTTAGCTACATAAGGAAACCATTTCTCCCCTGTTCATTTATATTGTTTGTATCATGAATAGATCTGTATTTTGATCCATGTGGGTCAAACTCAATGACTGACCAACTACTGCCTTTGTCTGAACACCTCCTGCTGGTGACGCTTTTCTGGATACAGCATCAGACAGGTGTCCTTTCTTTGCAGGTGCACACACAGTGCAAACTCAATGTTGTCTCTCTGGCATTCTGTGCCCAACACTCTTCCTGGCAGTCTCAACTCAATAAGGATTTCACCGATAAGAACGAGACAAATAAGCGGCCTCAGTGGTCGAAGCTCTCGCTGTACTGCCATGAGGTCTAGAGTTCAGGTCTCTAGAACGATATAAATGATGGATGGGCTGTAACAGCTGGCCTGTAATTCCAGGCTTGGAGGGCAGCGAAGTGATCACCACAGCAAGCTGGATAGTGAGACTAGGCAGATCAGTGAGCTCTGAGTTTGACTTCGAGAACACGCCTCAATGAATGAGGTAGAGAAGCAAGGGAGGATACTTCTGACATCAACCTCAGTCCTCTACATGCATACAGACACACATGTGCCCCTGCAAACTGCAAACATGCATATATACAACACATACACACATGCATGCATGCACACATGCACACACATATACACACATGCATGCATGCACACATGCACACCCACACATGTGCACACATGTATACACACGTGCACACACACATGCATGTGTGTATGAATGTGCACACACGTATATACACATGTGCATGCACACACACATACATGAATGCATGTACACACATGCATCCACACATATACATGCACACACAAGCACACACACACTCACATGCACACACACACATACACATGCGCACACACACACACACTCACATGCACACACACACACTCACATGTACACACATACATGCACACATACACACACACATGCATGCACCCACAAACACTCACGTGTACATACAAATGAACATGTTAACAGATCATCTGGTAACTATGACCACATCACACTCTAACAGGTGGCCACAGAGGGTCCACAGAGCTCCTGTTCAGCATCCACAGAGCCAAATGCTTGGCTTGCTACGGCTGGCTCTTTTCCCACTGTGCTGAGGTTTGTTTGGGTCTCCTGGAGACAGTCTGGCAGCCTGTGGGCTCCAGGGCTCCCTAAGCTTGTCAGACAGATTGCTCTGTTCCAGGCGGGGATGCTCCTTAGACAGAACACCATCTTCCCTGTGCTGGCCAGTGAGAGGCAAAGAGTCTCTGAGAAGAGCCGGTGACAGCAGCCCCCGACACAGTCCTGCCTCATTCCTGATGCTACCTGGGTTTCAGCTTAGGAGCCCAACAGTGAGGGAGCCAGACAGGTGGAGCAGTTTCGTATTCTTGGCATTTTAAGACTTCCCCAAGCATACCAAATCGTCTCTCTAAACTAATCCCTGCCCCCTATGCTATCAAAGTAGCCAGACTTGTTTGAACACAATGTTTATGTTTATGGGGCATTGGTGACTCAGAAGGTTACAAACAAACTAGAACACATGAGGACATCAGGTGATATTGTCACAGAAGGCAAGAAAAAAAAAAGCATAGGGACTAAGAGAAAGGGCTACATAGTTAATTAAGGGTATGGGTTCAGATCCTCTGGCACATATGAAATGTGTAGCAGGGCAATACCCCAGGGTCCCAGTGGGCTTGCCAGCAAAATGGAACAACACTGCTTTCCACGAGGAATGACAAAGGGTGAATAAAGGAACAGGAGTAGGAGGCTTAGGAAGGTGTGAGTTTTCAACTCAGGTCGGCCATGTTGATGGCAAGTGTGGTGATGGCAAGAGTGGTGGTGGTGGTGGTGGTGGTGGTGGTGGTGGTATTAGTCATGAAAACGTGATAAGTGAAGACGGTGATAGAGGTAAGATGGTATCATGCTGCTAGAGATGAGAGAAGGAGACAGGGAAGGTGGCCGTGCAGACTCCACATCGTATGAACTCATTTACCCGGCTGTGAAGAGCCACTCAGCCACTTCTCCCGATGGAGGCTAAGAGCTTACTCCAGGAAAACTAAGGAGAATCTGGATGGTCCGTTACTCATTTCTCTTCTCTGGGCCTTCTGGGTAAGGCAACCAAGGCAGGGAGTGGGGGAGTCCTATGGAGCTTACTGAGCAGCCTGACTTTGTAAGGACGGCAGCCACATGTACTCCCACCATGGACTCTCTACATGCACAGTGGGGAAGCCATTCTCTACTCTGGAAAGATGGAAAACGGTTCCCTTTGGCACCACAGAGCACAGGGCTATCTGAGAAAGTAAGCGTGAACCTACCATCTCCTCTCAACCTCAACAAGCTGCTTCTAGAACACACAGGCAACAAAAAGTTCACAAAACAAGCTCTCCCTCAACACGTCCACTGTGGAGCCCCTGAAACTCTAGGACTCTGGGCTCAATCATCCACAGCCAATCCCCAGGAATCTCGTCGGGAGCCTAAAAATCAGTTTTTCTCCTGAAGAGGACCCCTGAAGCAAAGATTAAACCAAACAAGCTACCTGGGAATCAAGCCCAGACGTTCACTTCAGCAACATACCATTCAAATTGTGCACCTCAGTGGCTACACCTTAAGAACAATCTGTTGGAGATATACAAAGATGGGCTAGCCAGCCAACTCTGAAGGGAGAGTGGTCAGGCTTCCACACCATTCCTGACTCAATTCACTTCCTGTTCTGAGCATTTCTGGTCACTTCGAGGCAAGGTCAATAAGAGAGGTGGAGAAAGAGCATTTGTTTTGAATGCTTCACTTTCCCGAGTCTCTGCCAACCTCTCCCACTTTCTGTAACCCAGAGGGAAACTGAGGCAGCTGAGATAACTCTAATGGGATGCTGGGAAATGAGATCTGGGACAGGTTACATCCATTATGGGCAGCCTGTCTCTTGGAGCCAAGTTGGAGCCATTAGAAGTCCCAAAGTTGGGTTGTAGAGATGGCTCAGCAGTGAACACTGCTGCTCTTTTGGAGAAGCCAGGTTCCACTCCCATGCCACATACAGGTGTGATCCAGAAACATCTGTAACTCTAGTTCCCAAGGATCCGGCACCCTTTTCTAATCTCTGGGGGCAGCATGCACACACCTGGTGCACATACGTGTATGAATGCAAACCATTCATACACATAAAATAAAAAGAAGTCCAAATGCCAAAGAAGCAAGGTGCTCCAACAGTGAGAAGCACAAGTATGCTCAATCCTTGTCTTCCTCCCTTCCCAGCTGCTGACCCGGACCAGGGAAGAAAAGGAAGAGCCGGAGATGCACAGGACATCTCTGTCTGCTCTCAGTGTCTTGTTTTTTCTCATTAGGGACCAGTGTTCCCAGATCTTAATTTCTTTCCCCAGAGAAGAAATCTCATCAACACAAATTCCAAACCCACACGAAAGACAAGTCGATTCTGATTGCTTGGTACTTAACAGTGACAGACAAGCTGTGAAGACTCCACCAAGAAGACATAGCACAAGGCAGGCCACACTGGACAGATCCTCTAGCTAATCCAACTTGTTGGCGACAAGAAGATGGGAAGCCAGAGGCAGCTGTGCTGAAGTGAGTACAGAAGAGTGGGGGTTGGGGTTCCGGAGAGAGAGGGAACCCATACTCACCGGGCTTCGATGCACCAGCCAATACGCCTTTTCCTGGCAATCCAGCGCATACCTGTCAGCTTTGTTCCTCTCCTTTCCAGTCCTAAAACAAAACAAAAGCTATGCTCAGAGCTAGCAGCACTTCACATCTTGACATTTAAGATGACCTCCATTCTTGATGACCTGGATGGCTTTCTCGACCTGCTCAAAGAACGCAGATGATAACAAACACAGAAAGCACTGCATCACACTTGCGCTCCAGGTACCATTTCAACATGCATGGACTCATCCTATCCTAGTTAGTTCTCCCAGGGAACTTCCCAACCTCACGACTTGGTGGGGTCCCTTGTCTTAGTGGGGTCCTTATAGCTTGTCTGTCACTGTTAAGAAGGAAAAGTGAAGGAAGAGGAGGAGTTGAAGGCCCTGCTGGGGCTACATCCTCTCTGGGAGTCGAGGGCATGGTCTACCTCTCCTTCATGGTACTGGGCTGCAAGGATTTAGGTGGTGCAGGACTAGCTCCAGAGTCAGATATGTCAGCAAAGAATCAGAATCAGAGAAGTCACTATGGAGGAGCAGAAATGATCGTGTGAGCCAGTATTCGGCCTCCCTGGCTTCATACTGGTTCCCTGCTTTGGCAAACAATACAACCAGCATCTGGACAGGCGGGTATCAATCCACACCAGAGCTGTGCTGGGGCAACAAGGATCTCAGGAAATCCTATTTTCTCCTGTTTTTCCTTCTCTGTCCCTCCAGTGAGGTGGTGACAAGTCATAGCTTTTTCTCAGTCTTGCTGGGGACTATAAAAGGTTATCCTGTTTTGTCTAACCATCTCCCCTTTGCCATCACAGGAGGAAGTGATGTGGGGCCTCCCCCTCCGGAAGGGAAGAAGTACTCATTATCACGCCAAGGGCACCATTCAGTCCCACTTCCAAGGCTAGCTGTGCTCACATTTATTAACGTCTGTTTTCCCAGGCAACGGGCAACACGAGATGACGCACACACCCTCCTCGCGACAGAGGCGGTGGATTTATTTCCCCATTAATGTTCTGAGACGAGCATAATAGCATCCAGAGAGCCAGATGGGTGAGCAGCGCCATTCCAGGAGGCTGTTCTACCAACCTCCTCTGGAAATTAAATAGAAACACTGTTGCCCCATTCCCTCTTAACAACCTAATGGATTTTCCACCAGCTTAACCAGCCAGAGTCTCCGGGAGGATGGACCACAAGCACCCTGAGGTTTGCGTGGTTTCTATAACACTAGTCAGTCTTGTAAATAGAGCCTGTCTTTAAAGAGTCCAGCGGGCCTTTCTGGATTTGCTCCTCAGCAACTCTGCAGAGTGCAGGAGAGCTGTGACAGATGCAATCCCAAACAGCCAGTAAATAAGGAATTCATTTAGTTGATCATATGACTGTTTTCTCACAATTCCATTTGTTTAATCTTCTGTTCATTTGTGGATTTATTGATCTCCTACTATGTTCTAATTACTGGGAGTCAAAACATAGCTCCAGCCTTTGAGCGGCTTTTAGTCTAAGCATTACAAGAGTACTGAAGTAAATACAGACTTGCCTGTGGTGTGAGAAAACATTGTAGCAACTAAAGCAAAACCAAGGATGGCTGGTCACTGTAGTGTTTCTGAAATGTGTCTCTGTGCCCTTCCTGCTGGTGGAGAGGTCTGTTTCCCCTCCCCCTTAGAACCAGGTGGAGTTTTGTGCTGACTTCCACCACTAGAGTATCAGGCATAGCGTGTGTGATTTATGAGGCAGGGCCACAAAAGAAAGAGCGAGTCACATAGCCACAAGAAGAGGGGAAAAAGGAAGAAGAAGAACATACACACACACACACACACACACACACACACAGAGAGAGAGAGAGAGAGAGAGAGAGAGAGAGAGAGAGAGAGAGAGAGAGAGAAAGAGAGAGAGAACAGGAAGGGCTCAGTGCAACAAAAACTACCCCCACGGGCAAACCCACATGGCTCATCTGGTTTTGTGGTGGGATCCCAAATCTGAAATCCATGAATTAAGTCATGGAGTTAAGGGGACACTGGTGTCCCACAGCGCCTGAAGTAAGGGGAGGAGAGGAATCTCAGAAGAGTCTGGGTATTCAGACATATCTAGGGCTTCTAGAGGAGGAAAGTGGGAACCGCTGAGAGAACACTGAGCAGCAGCTCCTGGAAGGGTTCTGTCAGGGTGTGGGTGGCTGGGATTGTCCCACTCAGAGCATGGAAGTAGCAGAGGGTGTGGAGGGGCTGGGGGAAGAGACAGAATCCCATCTCCATGCTCCTGGGCCCAGCTTAGGGCTGGAACCCACTAGACATGCAAAAATGTTATGCTGGATAGAATGTAATCATTCTAGCACAACCAAGTGACCCTGACCAAGTAATTTTAGCCTCTCCGGCCTCCGTTTCCCAACTAAAAAGAAAAGGAGGGACAATGACTATGACCCTGAGTGTTCCTGCCACACCAATTTAAAATAAGATGGCACCCATAAACACCAAACGAGGCCTTGTAAACAAATGTCAATGGCGTGTTAGACAGTTCCCTCCTCCATGTTGCTTTGTCTCAAATATGTCAGACAGGAACATGTTAGTGGCCTAGTGAGCACTGACAGATGTCTTACCAATGCCCCACGAGAACATGACAGTGACAGCTAATCGTTGTCAACTTGTCTGGATTAGAATCACCTAGGAGGCAACCATCTGACGGTAACCATGAGGGCATTTCTAGAGAAGTTTAACTGAGGTGGGAAAACCCCTCTGCAGTGTGAGCTGCACCATCACATGGCCTGGACTAAACAGAAACATCAAGGCAAGCTGAGCACCCGCACTTATTTCTCTCTGCTCCCTGAGGGCGGCTGCAGTAGGACCGGCTGCCTCGCACTCCTGCCACCACGTTTTCCCTGCCATGATGGACTATAACGACAAACTGGGGCTTCACTCCTTCACTTCGGTTCCTAGACTTGCCATTCTGGGTCCTGAAGTAAGGGAAGGCATGTCAAAGCTGCAGATGGCCTACAGTAGACATGATACGAGTAAGAAATGAACCTTGTAGGATCTGTCAGGTGTTCAGAGGGATAAGACATTGCCCAGTCTACACTTCACAATCTGCTCCAGCCATAGAAGATGCCTACACAGGACATTCTCCTGTCTTCTTAGTTCTGCATGCTTGGAACGTCCTCCCTTTTCTCCTCCTCTCTCTTCTCCTCCACCCACCACCAACATCCTCCATAGCTGATAGATTCTATTTCCCTAGCTCCCTCTGTAAATGCCTGCTGCATGACCCTAATCTCCGGTAGCGTGCTGGCCTGTTCCTTCATCTGCCTGACCTGCGTGGCTGTGGCCTTTGTTCCCTAGCCCTAGCCTGGAGTTTATCACACAGGTGCTCATTATAGGCTGGTTTTAGTCAAAGGAAATGGGAATGGGATACCCTATCAGTTGGTAAAGTGTTCGCCTCCCACACATGAGGACCTGAGTCTGATCCTCCAGTGCCCACATAAAAATAATAGGTAAATAAAAATTTTAAGGAGGGGGGGGGAGAGGGAAAGGGAGAGGGAGAGAGAGAGAGAGAAAGAGATTCAGCTTCAAATAATAAGGGAGCTGGCACCTGATGGATCAGCAAAGTTATCTTCTAGCCAGAGTACACAGAGGCAAGCAAAACAAAGGATCCAGGAAGGAGAGAGGAGGGACAGCCAAGGATCCAGGAAGGAGAGAGGATGGACAGCCAGTACAGAACCCCAGTGCCCTCTTCCCACTCACCGATACTGCTCTTTGGCCTGCATGATGACAAAATCCCACTTGTAATTAATCTTCTTGTTCAAGAAATCATAATTTTCCTAGAGAAGAAGAACAAAATGAGACAGTTAGCTTCACAGGATAGGCCACAAACAGCAGGGCAGAATATAACAAACCAGCAAAGGATACTCATGGCTCTCCACGGCCCAGTAACTCCCACAGCATCCAAACAGCATGCATAAAGGGGCCAGGCAGAATTCTCAAATGCCTTTGCAGCAGGTCTCCCTTTGCTTTTTTTTTTTTAAATAACTGTATCCCAGATCTGATTGGGAAGAAAGGAGGTGGATGGTGAGGGTGGAAACTTTATTCAACAATGAGGCTCAAGAATCTAGAAAGTGAGACAGGCCTGGTGGCACCGGCCTGGGATCCCAGCTTCCCAAGAGGCAGAAACAGGAGGATCCAGCCTGAATTATTCTGACTAATACAATGAGACGCTGTCTCAAAAGAAAAAAGTTCTTAAAAGATCTGAGGGCATGGCTCAGAGCACTGGCCTACTAGGAAGGGGGACAGAGAGAGTGAGGGTAAGAAGGGAAGGAGGGGAGGAGAGTGGGAGAGAGAGGAGGAAAGAGAAAGGCCTTCAAAGTGTGTATGAAATCATCACACTGCGATACAACATTTTGCACTATTAACATATGCTAATAAAGGATTATCAAAGATTAACCCTGACTTGATGTGATGGATGGATGTGGATAGGTGTGGACAAGTTTTAAAAAATTAAAACCCATAAAAAGTATTGCCCTCTACCAGATACGTCAGCCTTGTGTCCTGGTTAATTTTTGCTGTCAACTTTACACAACCTTAGAGTCACTTGGGAAGAGAGAATCTCAGCTGATCAGACTGGCTATGGTACATATCCAGTGGCAATGTGGGGCATTGTCTTCTGGGATTGTTAATTGATATAGGAATCCCAGCCCACTTTGGGCAGTACCATTCCTAGGCAGGTGATCCTAACTACCTAGAAAGCTAGCTGAGGATAGCCAGTGAGAAAGCCAGTAAACAGCATTATCCCTCCAAGGTTTCTACTTCAGTTTCTGCCATGATGTCTCTCAGTAACTGTGATGGGAAGTATAAGCTGAAAATATAAGCTTTCTTTCCAGAGTTGTGTTTCATTCATGATATTTATCACAGCAATAGAATGGAACTAAGATACCTTCTGAAGTTTCCGGCATGTCCTTTGGGAAATCTGATTCACTCAGCCAAAAATATGCCTTTCCTATTATTTCCACACCAGAAATTTAAGTTTAAATATGTTAATCCAGAGCTGTGTGTTATTATGTATATTAAGTTATCTCATTTGAGTGCAACAAAAGGACCCGGATAGGTACTATATCCCCAGTAACCACCAAGGCTAGTGGTTAAGTTACAGCAGGAGAGAACTGAAGCTATACATAGAAAAGGATATGTTCAGTAAGCTGTAAACAAGTCAATGGACGGGTAGATGGATGGATGAGAGGTGTATGATGGATGGGTGGATGGATGATGGATGGATGAATGGATGGATGAATGGATGGATGAATGGATGGATGATACATGGATGATGGATGGATGGATGATACATGGATGGATGGATGGATGGATGGATGGATGGATGGATGATACATGGATGATGGATGGATGGATGGATGGATGGAACATGGATGATGGATGGATGGATGATACATGGATGATGGATGGATGGATGATAGGTGGATGATGGATGAATGGATGGATGGATGGATGGATGGATAATGGTAGATAATGGAAGAATGAAGAATACACAGATGGAGGACAGATGGGTAGACAGGTGGAAGATGTATAGATAGATGTAGTAATACAGAAAAGAGAGAAAATACCTCATGACAACATTCTACTCCATTATTAAAAACTCTGTACCTTTTCATATTCTTCTAAAATCCCCTTCTTCTTGATATTTCGCTTAGCTAGATAGATGGCTGGAAAGGAAAACAATGGCATTTTCTATCACTGTCATATTCCAAATCCCCTTAGGTAGCCAGAGAAGATTTTCAGCCGACTAGGTTCCCTCCCTCTCCCCCCAACCCACGCCTCCAGGGACGCTTCCAATACAGATGTGAGCTGACATAAAGGTCAGGATGACAGTTAGACAAATGTCATCCAAATGCAGCACACAAATAAGCAGCGTGTTAGGTGAGAGCAGAGGCACATGAACAAGTGAAGTATTTACCGTAGTCTGTGTCTTCAGCTGGCCACTGTTGAGTGGGCCAGAAATATGGCGTCTAGAATAGAAAGCAGGAAAATCATGGTTACCTACGGAGCTGGGAACATGTGGATTCCCCAGCCTGGGATGAGAAAGATAGCCTTAGACCTCGGTACCATTTCTAAATTCCTGATCTTTGAGGATATAAGGCTAACTAGTTAACTTTGCAGGGAAGATCTACCTCCCATTACCATGTAAGGTCAAGATTAAAGCTCACCTGAAATCGGTAGAGACTGCTGTCAGGCTTGAGGATGAGATTCTTGGGGTCTTGCAGAGGATAGATGTAGCCATACTTGACAATAAAGTTGCCCAGGTTCTGTGCCTCTGGGGAGAAGGAGTTTCCAGATAAAAGTTAAAAATGGAACCGAAGCAAGAATTTGTGGGTCAGCATGTGACCACCAAACTCCAAGAGAGCGGCCCATCCTTACAGCATAAGACCTGAGGCCTGGGACAGAGGTTCTTTTTTTAAAGATTTGTTTGATTTCTTCCGTACATGTACATGGATGTAATGTGATGTACGGGTTTGTATGCATGAGCATGTACATGTGTGTGAGTCAGGGGTTGTGTCAGGTGTCTTTATTTTTACAGATCAGGTCTCTCGATGAACCTAGAGCTCACCATTTCAGCCGGTGAACCCACAAGATCTCTCCTGACTCACCACCAGCTCCCAGTGCTGGGATTACAGACTCGTGCTGTCTTTTGCACAACTGCTAGGGGTTTGAACTCAGGTCCTCACGTTTGCCAAACAAGTACTTTACCCACTGAGCCATCTTCCCAGCCCATGCCCTTGCTGCTGACTCTGGCTGTTTTATCCATGAAGGTCCTGTCCTGTCTCGCCAACCGAGATGTGCACTTCTTTTTTTTAAAAAAAAAAAAAAGGCTTTTTTATATATTACATGTAGATACTCTGTCTTCAAACACCCCATAAGAGGACACTAGATCTCATTGTGGATGGTTGTGAGCCACCATGTGGTTGCTGGGATTTGAACTCATGACCCCTGGAAGAGCAGTCAGTGCTCTTAACTGCTGAGCCATCTCTCCAGCCCATTTTTTATTTATTTATTTATTTATTTATTTATTTATTTATTTATTTTCTTTTTGGTTTTTCGAGACAGGGTTTCTCTGTGTAGCCCTGGCTGTCCTGGAACCCACTCTGTAGACCAGGCTGGCCTCGAACTCAGAAATACACCTGCCTCTGCCTCCCAAGTGCTGGGAATAAAGGCGTGCGCCACCACTGTCCAGCAAGATGTGCATTTCTTAATGACTCGTGCAAAGCCTCCTTTTGACTTTCCCCTTTAGTATTGCATGCATGGCAACCAGTAACTGCATAGGCGAAGGCCTCACCCAGGTTAGAGATCCAAAGGCGCTGGATGATCCATTGCAGAACATCACCTCCTGCAAAACAGAGACAGGAATCTGATCAGCACCGTAACTTCTTAGCCTAGCCCAGGACTACCATGCCCTCCTCCACAAAGTGCATCCTCACTGTTTGGTGGTGGTCCTGTCCCTGAGCAACACCACCCATTCATTCAAATAATTCAAAACAATTAATATCCACTGAGGCATGACCCCACCAGATAGACCTGCAGCTCACCCTGCATTATACACTGTCTTTTATGTATACGTGTGTTTGGTGTTTGCTTGTTTGCATGCTTTTTGCAGGACCTTACTAAGTTGCCCAGGCTGATTGTGAAATCATTCTATACGGTCCAGGTAGTCGTGAACTCACAATTCTGTTTCCATCTCCTGAGTAGTCACGCTCAGTCTTTACCTCACTCGCTGTACTTATCCTTTTGCCATAAAATGGTTTAAAGACCACTCCCCATCAAGTAGACAGTAAACAGGCTGTGTCTAAGCATAAAGAAAAAATCAGAGTCTAGGCCAGCTAGGGTTCTGAATGGAGTTTGGATACATGAGAGTGAACCAGAATGGAGGATAAGAATTAAAGGAGGGCTGAAGGCAGGGATGGTTCTCTTGTATTCAAGTCTCCAGGTACGACACTCAAGAGCCAGAGAATTCTAAATTCAAACCTTAAGGTTGCTGCAAAGGTACTTTTATCCGAGTGGAGGAGGGAACCTATTTTAGTAACATCTTGTAGGTTGATACAAAACTTTGGAACATAGAATGTAGGCTCCTTTTATACTTTTGCCTTGGGCCTTGCAAATCTCAGGTTCTGGCCAGGGAACTGCACAGAGCTAAGACTGCATAAAATGAAAGGCAGGGAAGGATGAGTCGAGAGAGATGGTGCACTCAGCTACACACCCCTGAGCATTTCTGTTTATCTCAGGGTGGAGGCAGAATAAGTCCAGAGAAGTCTGAGGCTACTGTAGAACCTGTGGGAGCTCTGAGCTTACTTCTCAGCCTGAGGCCTCTGGCCTCACAACCAGATGCTTTCTGTACAGGGGCAGTGGTGTCTCCGAAGAAAGACAAGATGCCCGAAACCAAACTCCCCAACTCAGACAGCACCTGTAAATGTCAATGGCCACATTCCCTGCATCTTCAGCCTGATTCCCAAAGGCAGAATCTGGTCCCTGCCTGCCTGGGGACTGGCCCCCAAAGCATGCCAGAGATGGTCACAGCTTGAGATCCTATCATCTGTATCTTTGTGGCTAGTGGTCCTAAACGATATTTCTCTCTTTGGAAGTAGAGAAAGGATATTTCTTATGATCTCTTTATATTCCCTGGACATAATTACCTGATACAGTATGGGTACGTAGGGACAACCTGTATCTCTTCCTTACATATTTTGTAGGCTGAAATGGATGACCAGCCACTGTCTCTGTCGGTACCCACACGCCAAACTATTGGTTCCAGATCCTCATTCCCCCGCCCCCGTGCCTCTCAGCTTTGACCCACCCAAAGTTGGTTGCTCCAAAGCAAAAATCCTTTATCTAAAATTCTGCTTAAAATCCTAGGCCTGTGTGTGTGTGTGTGTGTATGTATGTGTGTGTGTCAACCAACATTCCATGCCATGCCTCTCTTTAAAGGCGTGCAGCTTGCAAGACCGCCTCAGGCAGACATCAGACTGATTAGTACTCTCTGCTGAGGAGCCCAGGGCTTTCTCATCCACTTAACTGCTTCCTGAAATAGACCAAATGAATTTACAGTGCCACCAGCATCTGTACCGAGGGGACTGTGCTGGCAGCAAGGCAGGCTGGCTGCTCAGGCTCCACAGCCGACTGTTCCCGGAAGCCCTGGCGCCTGCCATTGAAGAAGCTGTATGCACCGTTTGCTACCATTGCCTCTGCCTTGGCAGGATGGGGACTCCTCCCTCATGGTTCATTTCTACAGAGGGTGAAACTCAAGTGAAGACAGGGAAGATGGGCAATCTCACCCAAATCTAAAGTCACATATAACCCATATGCAAGGGAGGAAAAGCATGTGTATGTGTATGGCTTTTTCACTGTGAGGTATGAACTGTACAGCGTGTCCCTGTCTGAGAGAAATGTCACAGGAGTGAATGAACCTGTGCTGCTCAGGGGCCGGGCATGCAGCAGATGGCTGATGGGCGGTAAAAGCCTGATCTGTCCCTCCCCATGTCTGTTAGCACTTGTAAGAAAGTTGGGATAGGTATGACCACCCTGATGATTTTTATTTTAAACAACAACACATTCAAAGCAATCCGAAGGATGATGGGAGACAGCCCGTCTCTGCAACAAAGGCACCTCGTATGAAAAAATGCATAGTCCAAGTGCTGGGGGCTGCTCAGTTGATCAAGTGCTTTGCACACAAGCTTGAGGACCTGGGTTTTTTTTTTAATTTGTTTGTTTGATTGATTGATTGATTGATTGATTGATTGATTGATTTGTTTTTAAAGCCAAGTGTGGCAGCAGGCATTCTGGGGAGACAGATGAGCAATCTCAAGGGTAGTTAGGGACCCTGTCTCAAAAAGAACAAAGAAAACAGTGTCTAAGGAACAACAACCAGGCTTGACCCTCTACAGACATGTGTGGGGGGTGAGGAGAGGGAAAGAAAGAGATGCTCAGTGAGGTCATGGATAGGGGCGGGAATTCACAAATCCCTGGTTCCCAGAAGCTATCTGCTTCTGCAGGCAACGTGCCTCGCCGTGACAAAAAGCATGGGTAACTGAGAAAGCAAAACGCATCCTTATGCTCACACACAACACCACACACACACTAATGTCCCCAAGTGATACCCTGGGTACCCTTAAACCCTCACACAAGAAGGGACTAGGGATTCTGCCCCATAGGGAAAGCTCAGGAGGGTCTGAGCACGGATTAGGAGGGTGAGGGAAGAAAGACAGAAGCCCCCCTTCCCAGCCAAACAGCAGTAAATATTTCAGTTTTGTAGACTCAGTGCTGTCTGAGCACAGCCATATATTTGGGCTCCATAGCTGGAATGACACAACAGCCGTAGATTACATGTAACAGAAATAAAGCTTCACTTACAAACACAGGGAAGCTGTGGGCAGTTGGGCTGTGTCTAGGTTAGGTTTCTATTGCTGTGATAAAACTCCATAGCCAAAAGCACTTAGGGAAGACAGGGGTTTATTTGATTTATATCTTATGTCATAGTCCACTGAGTGAAGCCAAGACAGAGACCTGGAGGCAGGAACTGCAGCAGAAGCCACGGAGGAACACTGCTTACGAGCTTGCTCCCCGTGGCTTGCTCAGCTAGGTTTCTTATACAATTCAAGACACAGCAGTGGCACTGTCCCCCTCCATGGGCTGAGTCTGCCCATGTCAATTACTAAATAAGAAAATATCCTATAAATTTGCCTACAGGCAATCTGATGGAGGCATTTTCTTAGCTGACTTTCCTCTTTCTAGCTAACTCTAGCTTGAATCAAGTTGACAATAACAAACAAGATAATAATAATAATAACAACAACAATAATAATAAAGCAACCAGGACATCATGTGTGCTCAAGTTTGCCAGTCCCCTTGTGGGTTTTGTTTCAAGTCACATCCAAGCCACAAGCCACATCACCTGTCATGGCATGAGGGACACTGGTGACCAAGACTCTCTGGTTCTGCATTCTGACTCCAGTCTCTGGGTTCTGCATGTCCTTTACAAGTGCTTCAATCTGCAAAACAGAACAGGAGGAACCTGCTGAGTCAGACTGTTCCAGAAGCTTTTCATAACACCAACAAGATCCAAACATGCAAAGGGGACCCAGAGGCTTCCAACCTGGTGCAGGAGCCAAACAGACACTAAGCAGCTACGGCACAACCAGAACCACGCGTGTGCTCTGTAGATAGATGCTTCCCTGCCTGGAAGGCCCCAAAGAGATGGATTCTGACCCAGGGAATGTACAGAGCCTCAAGAACAGACTGCCCTCAACAAGAAAGATTTTGAAGGACAGAAAATGAGAGCACACCACAAGAAGAGGCGGTGGGAAGCAGTGCCCGTGACTTTGAGAAAGGAAGGAGGTGAAGTGTTATTTGAAGTGGGAATGGCAGGTGGAGACCAGGTTACAGTGGTCTTCACATGCCGCTCTCAAGTTAGTTTTTGGAACAGCAGGTGTTACTGGAGAGCAATGGGTCCATCACAAAGACAAGGAGGCAGAAGGAGGTTTTCCAAGGTAGAAAAAGGGTGAGATGGTCCCTGATCCATTCAGAGTTGCTGCAACCATCCAGGAAAGATATCATGGAGTTTCATCCCCTGCGACCACACCCTCAAGCTGCACCAGCATAAGAGCTGATGAGCCTCTGAATCAACTAGAATGGTTCCCGTAGTGAGAATTCTGAAATTTTGATTTCTTCACACACACACACACACACACACACACACACACACAGAGAGAGAGAGAGAGAGAGAGAGAGAGACAGAGACAGAGACAGAGACAGAGAGAGACAGAGAGAGACAGAGAGAGACAGAGAGACAGAGCGGGGGAGGGAGGAAGAGAGAGGGGGCAATATTATAAGAATCCCAGGTGTAAGGAGGATGTGGGGCTGCTTTGCACTGTCTGAAGTGGCTGACTATGATTTGCCCTGTGCTCTAGCAGAGACGTAGTTTTGCCAGTTGCAGATAGTTTCTGAGATTGTATGTCGTTTGGAAATCTGGGAACTTTTTCAGGTGGTATATAAATGCTAAGGCCCAGAGAGGTGGGGTTGGTGGTTGCTGGTCACTGGGGGTAGGGGTGGAGGTGGGAGTTGGTTATGATTTATTAGTAGTCATGCTCAAAGAAGAAACAAGAAAAAAGAAATTAAGACTCAGGGTTCCCTCTCCTTTCTCTCTCTCTCTCTCTCTCTCTCTCTCTCTCCCCTCTATCCTTCTTTCTCTCCTATCTAGTGATAGGGGTGATAAAGGGTGGAAAAAAGAAGAACCCACAAATTAGCAAAGACTAGCTACAGGTTTCTAGGATCCTATTCTCACCTTTTCCTCTAATATTCCAGGAGGCCTACTCCTCTGACTATTCTACTCAAAGCTGCAACTTCAGCACCCTCAGATCTCCTGGCCCCTGGTTGCTTTTCTATAGCATACAACTTCTAACACGCAGAGCAGTTTACTTTGGTCTGTTGTTTATTAGGTGTCTTCCCTTTGCACCTGCAAATTCAGCTCTCAGAGGCTGGTCTTGCTCTGTCAGTGTTTCCTGCTGTATTCCTGATGCCTGAAGGAGTGTCTTACATGGTGGTAAACAAGCACTAGACATACAAATTAATAAGCAAACGAAGGCAGCATGAGGAAGATGGATAGTGGTCGGATAGTTGAGTGAGAGATGCTGGTAATGATGACAAGGTTTGGGTCCTATCTGACCAGAGCAGTTAGTTATCAGAAAATAAAAATCCCAAAGAATGGCTGGGAATGTAGCTCAGTGATGGAGCATTGCCTAGTATGATGGAAGTCTTGGGTTCAACCCCAGTGCACAGATGGGGAGTAGAGAGAAGAAGAGAGGAAAAGGAGCTGTCAGGAAAGACTGGGCAGGGGCGGGGGAAATGAGAGAAACACATCACTTCTGCCTTGCATGATTACAAAAGGCTGCTGAGAGACTCTCACAATGTGGAGATGTCTGCCCCAAATACCTGAAAAGCAAAAGTCATGAGACAGAAAGGTAATGAACAGCCAAGAGAATGTGGAAGCCAAAGAAAAATGACAAACGGTCCAAGGAAGCTGGAAGCATAGGAAGAGAAGACTCACAGGGAGATTGCCTTAGCCTTACTTTTGTTAAAAAAGACTTTTCTCTTCTGCCAGGCATGGTAGTACCTGCCTGTAATGTCTGCATTCGGGAAATAGAGGCTGGAGGATCACTTTAAGTTCCAGGCCAGCCACAGCTACATGGTGAGACCCTGTCCCCGTAAAACCTAAATAGAGGGCCAGAGAAAACGGCTTAGCAAGTAAGAACACTTACTGTGCCAGTGTGGAGGTCTGGCTTTGAGTCTCAGAGCCCTCATAAAGGTGGGTGGAGAGAACCAACTTTATAAAGTCATCCTTCTGTGTATGCATTGTAGCGCACATACCAAACACCCCAACACATGGACTCACAAGTAATAAATAATATGTTTACAGTTTTAAAAGCCAATCTAATAATATTTCCCACAGAATATGGTGACACATGACAATAACCCTAGCACTTGGAAGGTAAAGGCTGTAGGGTTGCTACAAGTTTGAGACCAGCCTGTTCTACATAGTGAGTTCCAGGCCAGCCAGGGCTACATAGTAGGACTTTGTCAAAAAAAAAAAAAAAACCATATAGCAACAACAGCAACAAAGTAATATTTCCACTTGGAAAAAAAAAAGCTAATGGAACTAAAATCAGGTGAGAGATGGTTTTAAGCAGAATAGACATTTTTGTATCAACAAAGGAAATGACCTAGATGTTTCTACTGCCATTTGATGTTTACGGTTGATACTAAGTCTCATGTACAGGGCTACTAAGTCTCAAATGTCACCTCCTCAGGAAGTTCCTATTAATAGACTATCATAGTCCTTCACTAGACGTTGCTGCTTCCAGTGGCCATCAATGTTCTAAAGCAGGTATATCCCTGGGGAATGCTGGGAAAACAAAGAACAATGGCAGTCCATAAGCCTAAGATTGCACAGGCACAATCATCTCTCTATCCTCTGGGAAGATAAGGCAGGGTCCCAGCAGATGTCACAGCCGCAGATAGGACTAGATCCAGGATATGTTAATTTACCCTAACCTATCCTATCCTATGCATCACAATGCTAAACTTGAATGTGTATGTAAAGCACAGGAAGTATTCTGGCTTGCACCTGGTTTAGATCTGAAAAGTCCCTCCGAAGACCAATGTGTTGAAGGCTTCCTCCCAAAATCTGGATGGAAGTAGGACTTTGAGGAAGCAATTGTGTCATGAGGATTCTGACCAATGGGTTAATCCAACTATGAGCTCATAATCTGACAGATTATTGGGAATGATGGAAATTTAGAGGGAGGATGGGAAGGATTGGAGACGGTAGGGTCCTTGGAGACATGTCCCTGCAAGCTACATCCTGCCTTGCCTGCTCCTCCCTCTCCCCGACTCTCGCTCTCCTACTCCTGGTGTTTAATGTTTGGACTGAGGTTGATCCCAAGTTAGCAATGGAGAGAATTGAAGCTGCTGATAAGGGGAAAATGCTGTAACAAGATACGATGAAGACCAAGTCCAAAAGGTCACATGAACACAAGCCCTTTAGAGAGCTAGGGAGGCAGCGGTCCCAGAGGGAATCTTACCAGACACACAGAAGGTGGGCAATAGGAAGATCAGATAGAAGATAGTGTCCCCAGGCTAAAGGGGAGCTCCACCCACAGGCTCAGGACCTGAAGCAGCAAGTGATAACAAAGAACCCCTCTGTCTTTCCCTGGTCCATAGCTCTATCCTGAAGTCTGTGAGCCACACATACTTGGACACACTCTCAGGACTAGCCGAGACCCATCCTCCATAATGCCCAAAGCAAGCAGCTCCCAGTTACCAGCTTCTTCTGAATTTAACAAACTTGATACTATCACAACGCCTCCAACTCTATGTGTCCTCTCAGATAGACAAGTCCTTTTGCACCTTGAAGGTGCTTGTGGTCAGAAGCAAAGTGAACCCCAGATTCTCATCCCACCTCCTGGGATTCCTTTCTCTCTTAACTGAAGAACTTGGGGCAGCTCATTTGAGCTCATGGGATCTCTTTCTCCTTTTCCGAAATGGGGGCCATGGCAACATGTGTCTCACTAATTTATATGGTTTGATAATAGCTTGATATCTAATTGAACAACTGTTAGAATGCTTTATATGGAGAGATGTGTGTGTGTGTGTGTGTGTGTGTAGAGATGTGTGAATGTGTGTATAGAGATGTGTGAGTGTGTGTGTGTATGTAGAGATGTGTGACTGTGTGTGAGTATGTGAGTGTGTGTGTATGCATACATATAAAGATATACAGGCTGAATATCCACTATTCAAAATGCATGATACCAGAAGTGTTTTGGATTTCAGCTGTGGGGATCATCACATCTACATGGTATCTCTCAGAGATGGAGACCTGTTATGTCTAAACATGAAATTCACTTTTGTTGTATCTACTGCTTTTGACATGTGGCCAAAAGAAAAAAATCTTATGCAGAATTCTAAATTATTTTTCACATGAAATAGGTTGTGTGTGTGTATGTGTATGTTTGTGTGTGTGTGTGTGTGTGTGTGTGTGTGTGTGTGTGTGTATGTTTGTGTGTGTGTGTGTGTTGTGGACTTTTTTGATTGTGGTATCAGGTTGATACTCAACAGGCTTCTAATTCTGAAGCGTTCAGCTTCAGTTCTTTATACCGTTTTGATTAGGGATGCTGGGAGCATCAGCTACCATGCTTGCAACCATTTATATTAGTAGTGTCCACATAACTGATGCATCTGTGGAACTCAACAACTGATCTCTTTAGACATCCATGGGTGAAAACCCAATCCCATCACTGAAACAAATTCAGGTACTTATTGAGCACTGGGACGGTACAAAACAGTGAAAGATACACCCCCCTAGTCCTCACAGATACACCCCCAGTTCTCAGAGATACACCCCTAGTCCTCAGACACATAACCCCAGTCCTCAGAGCTATGCCCCCAGTCCTCAGACATATACTCCAGTCCTCAGAGATACATCTTCAGTCCTCAG